GACTTGTACAAGCAGGAGAGCAACATGATATCATCGTTAATGCAAGACAGATAACTAGTGATGGGAATTGATAAGAATTTAACAATTCCGATTCTCAATGGGTGAGGGAATAAGTACAAATTTGTTTGTTTGTATTAACTCGCTTTAATATCTGATCAGAAGACACAGCACAGAGTATACACAAATTATATTGTTATATTATTATTGTTTTTCCTGCCAAGTACTAGGCAGAGCTTTTAAAACTCTGGCCGGACACAATCATCAACATGTCAGTCCATCTCTCAGTATTGACTGACTTCCTGTCTGTGCTTCTCAGCTCCAAGCCCACCGGTCCCTCCTGAAGACATACGAAGTCACATTAAGATCGTTATCAGCTCGGTGAGTCAACCCAGGTGTTAGCAGCAGATTACCAATCGCAAAAATGGACAAGTCCACTTGCAGCAGAGTCATATTTTACAAACCAAGAGCTGAATATAATACTAGACAAATTGGACATAGTCTAGCATAAGCTACACAGCTGCAACTGACACATGCAGGACGAAAGAAAGTCACAAATAGTGTGACTAACTTAAAGAATGTGACGTATTTCTCCTGTCCACTTCTGTAAAATTGTCACATTCTGCCTTTCGGCTATGTTTAGTTTAGCTCTCTGTGGGTTTTTGATATTTTGATCAGTTCAGTATCTGTCTCATAGTGTTTTGGGTTCTGTCCTGTGTCCAGTATCTGTTATATAGTCGGTTGTGTTTTGGGTTTCACTCATGTCCGTCTCTGTCTTCTTGGTGTCTTAGTTCCCAGTTCAGTGTTTTACTTCTTAGTCCTGTACCTTAGTTCATGTCTACTCCTGGTCTGTGTACTTCTGTATAGCTTTGCCCATGGCTGTTGTTATCTTAGCTTCAGTCTATCTCTGCTTGTGTCTGGATTAGTTTGTTGTTTTTATTATTCTGATCTGTTACTTCTTACCTTGATATGTTCAGTGTTCAGTACTTGTGTAATGTCTGCTCACCTCCAGTAATCTGCCTGCCATCCAGCCTCTCTGTTTTCCCTTCTGTCTCTCTGCCTCGTTAACCCTGATCCCAGTCACCTGTGTTGCTCCCGCCCTGCTTGTTAGTATAAATGTCTGGTGTTTCTGTTCATTGTAGTGTGAATACACACTGTTGCGTCTGATGTTGAGTGTTGTGCCTGTCTCTGTGAAGCCTGATCCTCTGTTTGGAAGTCTTACACCCAAACTGCATGTAAGCCATTTTTGTGTTTCTTGGATTAAACCCTGTGCACCTTCAGTCTACTCTCCAGTGTCTTGCGTTTGGGTTCTCTCCTGTTTGCACTTCATCTGAACCCTGACAAAACTATGTAGTTGGTTTAATTTCATGTAGCCTAGTTATTCTCCAGCCTGTGGTTTGGCTTTTCAGGTTACGTTAGCAAGACAATCAGCTGATCACTAATTGGCAATAAAACGTAGCTTCCAGCATGAGCGTGTTATATCCAGTGGGCCTGCTCCTCGGTTTACCTTTTGTTCCCCATCCTATTGTGCCCGTCCTTCTGTTTCCCCTTGTGAGTCTGCTTGGTTTGCAGGTCGGCATGGCTCTCCTCCTTGGCTCCTGCATTCTGTGTCTCTACACACCTACATCTCATTCCTAATCAACTACCTGTTATCAACCCCTGTCCAGCACGCCAGTATTCGCCAGATCGTCTGCGTATCTCCAGTGTCACACACCTTGGCTAGTCAACTCTTAGAAAACCTGTCTTGTGATAATTTTCCCTGTGTGTTCTCCCTCATCTCTCAGATTTACTGGACCTGCCTGCAGCTCACCTGCTACCCACTCACCGCTTCAGCCTACACACCAACCAATTTTCAACTCCACAAATTAACATAAAAACATGCAAAACATTTAACATAGTTTTTAAGTTATTTAATAAAAAAATACCTCCAGGGTTTAAAGTACCCTAACAGTGTGGAATGACTAACAATTTCTCAGTTAGTTTCAATAGTAACTTCATCAACTCACACAACAGTTTTAATCTATAGAAAATACAATAAAAACTTTAAAAAAAACACACAGGACATTAAACACATAACAATATATATTACTGCCTATCCAAACACTGTGTAAATGACTGATTACACACTAGAGGGTGTGATCGGTTGATACTTGATGCTGTAGGGCACAGTGAAAGCCAACTAAATGGATGTATAATATAAATATATATATCAAACGTGTTACCTTTTATATATTGGTGAATTACATGAACAGTTTAATTGACAATTTAATGATTATTAGCATTTATATGAATTTCCTGACATTTTGTAATGGATTTTTTTTATGTTCCACCCTGTTAGGTATATAAACTTAAAGCTAACAGGATGGACATTTTAAAACCAAATAAGCCATTGCTCTGTGAGACAGCAAACTTTAGTAAGATAGCTCTACACAAATACATGGTACTTTAGTGTAGATATCAAGCATGGTTGTTATTTTTGAAAAATGTGGTTTGCTTTCTTCATAGCCTTGTGTAGGACACACAAGTTTACATCATAAAACATGCAAAAAAAGCAGACAGAAAGTTGGTGTACAACTCAGTTTGCTCCTTTGAATTCTCCCAAATAGGGTGATGTACTTCCTGAATGTGGATTTATGGAAATTGAAGTTTTTTTTGTTCAGAAGGTGAAAAACCATAAACTAACAGGGTGGAACGCAATTTTGGGGACACACAGTAAATCATAAAAAATAATAAATAATAATATGTTTTAATTTATATATTTTATAATTGAATATATTTGAAATTAATCCATACAATAATAAAGTTATATTTCTATTTAATTGCAAATGTGCCTCATTGATCTGGGGACATTGTAAAAGGGAGTGTATGTTCCCTCAAAAAGGTTGTTAAAATTAAAAATCTATGTTTTTACATGCAATATTTTATGTTGATGGTATAAAGAAGACCTCGATGTATAATAATAGCATTTTATAATAGCCATTTTAGTTATTATTTATGCAACATTTAGAGCAACTCTTGGGGACTTAAAAGTCACCAATAGCCAGGAATGGCTTATTTAATTAAGCAAAGCAAGAGGAGCCTTGATCCTGACCTGACAATGCATTTGTAAACTTTACGTTTATAATGAACTGTGATGCAGAAACAGTGAAGCTTACATTGCCCTGTTATCTGTCAGTGGTCATACTTGATGCACTAGATAGTTTTTGAGATGTTATTCATTTTCTTTGGTATATTAGTGCAGATTGGTTGTTGTAGAAGTTGTAAAATACTGTATTACAGGAGTAAAAGACATCATGTAGCACTTTCTTGATGTGGCTGTTGTTTAATGAACAAGTAACAATAATATTTTAAAAAAACATGTGGTTTTATTGAATATTTAAGTAAATATAATTTCTTAATATATCTATCTAAAGAAACCTGATTTCTTGACCTTTAAGAGTAGTACATACACTAATCCAAAAAACGCAAAGGAGTGTTTCCCCTCAGACAAAGCATGCGCTGTTTGTCCACGAGACGACTATTCAACACTACTGTCCTTTGTCATGAATGAAGATGTGGGATAAACCTGCTGTTACCGCAAAACTGACGGGCTCTGAGAGATTTTATCAGATAGAAGACATATCACAGAGGTCCCATTAGCATTCTGAAAGTCTCCTGTGTATGATAACTGTGTGCGCATGTTTAACTTAGCTTTATTGTGTGGTTTATGTGTGTTTGACTTGCTGTGTTTAGGTGGCTGTGCACCAGTGAGAGTATAATTGTGTCAAGGCACTCAGGTGGCCCACAGGTAACCCCCTGAATGGAGGTGTTTTTAACGAGTGGCTTTTATCCCTTTAGCATTTCTGGCATTGGCATCTACATCTTGCTTGTTGTATTGAGCTTGTGTAATGAATAAAATTGCCCAAAAGAAGAACCTATGGCAACTGTTATTTAGATATTTGGGGTTTTGAACCCCTGGTAATGCCTGTCAGCATTGTGAGCTGTATGGTGTGGCAGTGAATGGCTTTAGCTAATGCTGTTCTTTTGTTTGCTTCACTCGTGACCACTTGTCTGTGTGTTACTGATGTTTGTTATGCTAACAACATTTCTTTAAACTGTACTGAAGAGCGCCTGTAGTTTGTCTTTTCTCTTTTAGTAAAGACTTTGTGTATGTTTCAGTCTCCACCTGACTTGGCCACCAATCAGCTGCTGTGTAGGGATCTGGAGATAGTGGTAAAATATATACACGTGACTATCTGTGTGTCTTAATGACTTTTAGCCCCGTGATATTTATAGTAATTATCTCTCCTCCTGCATCACTGTGCTGCAGGATTTTGTGTAATATTGCAAAGTAAATATATATTAATTCTTCTGTTTTAATTATGTGCAAGACAATGTACTTTTGAAACTCGCAACGAATGTCTGTGGCCAGCCACTGTTTTCTATTGTTATCTTTTTGTTCCTTTTGTTAATTTGTTTTCTAGTCCCTTTAAGATGTCTGTTGCTGGGTCTTGTGCCCCACTGTGATTAAAACTGATGTTTCACACTCAGCATCTGCTGGGTGTCATATTCTGGATGGTGGTTTAAATACAGGTTGTTCTCCTCTCTTTGTAGATTCACAGCTGGACTCAAAGCTGGGTCCATGTCGGCACACTGCCTCCCTTTCTGTGGTGAGACTGCACTGGCTGACATTCTGTAGTGGTGTTTATACTCTACTTCAACACTGCAGCTTTTGTAATGAATAGTTTAGAATCCAAACTATTCACTACAGAATACCTAAACTTTAGATGCTAAGTGTGTAGCGCGCGCACACACACACACACACACACACACACACGCACATTAAGTTCACAGGTCCACAATGCATTTCAGTACACCAAAAATCCCCTGCTATTCTGGTTACATTAATGATAACACATGCTACTGTCACTCACCAGGTACTGTTGCGACAGCATATTTCTTGTTTTCTTCACAGCCTAGTTTCTGTCACTCTAATGTTCATGTCATCTGCTGCAGCCGTGGTGTCATCTGGAGCTAAAGGAGCTTCAGGGGCTTTGGAACAGTACTTTGGTTGCGACTTATGACGATTCAAAAGTCCACAAGAACGGAGATTGAGAAATTGCCTAGGTGTAGGAGTCAGAGTGAAAAAGAAGCTGACAAAGCGTCCTCCTGTCTTCATCCGTCCTCCATCAGCTGCTTCACCTCCATTTTCTCTCTGATCCAGAGTCAGATCGGATCAATGATCAAAGATCAAACAGGTTGATCGGCCATCAGAGGAGTTGGATCAGTGGAGCTGCTTCTGTTCCTGCTTCTCTCTGCAGAGGAGACAGAGGACAGTTAGACAGAGACAAACACAGAGACTCTGACCTCAGTCTGCATACTGACCTTTGACCCTGAGATCAACTGATTTCACTCTCCGGATGTTTCTGCTGGTGACGATGCACCTGTATCGTCCTCCGTCTCTGTCTGTGGGGGATTTCAGGGTCAGACTGAGGTCTCCAGTTCTCAGCAGGTCTTCCTTCATCTCTGTTCGGTCTCTGTAAACCTGGTTCTGTTGGTCAGGCTGGTCAGAGCCGTTCTGATACACGTGGACCGTCTCATAGGGATCATAGTGTCTCCACATCACTAACACATCCTCAGGCAGGTTCTCTGTGGTCTTGCAGGGCAGCAGGACAGACTCCGCCCCCTCCTCCACCTCCACCTGACAGACTGAGAGGACAACAAAGCAGAACATGAGCTGCACAGACAGCAGCAGCAGTTTGAATAACTTTATTGACAGAAGCAGATGAGAGCAGCAGCTAACAGGGGACAGAAACACAGGAAGCTGTTGGAGATGATCAGAGTCTTGATGCTGCTGGGATTGTTTTGTCCATGTGCTGCTTCACAGTAATGTCTCCTGTCAGTGTTGAGCTGCTGGACTTTTACATTTCTGGATCTAAAGCTGAACTTTGAAGAGAAGAAGCTTTCAAATGTTTTCATCTCTGTTCTGTAAATGAATCTCAGCTCCACATGTTCAATATCAGTCCAGAACACCGAGACACACAAACATCTGATCTGGATCTGATCCCAAACTGCTCTTCCTGCTTCATCAATCTCTGTGGACTTTAAAAAAATTGATCAGTGATCAATTCATTCCTTCATGTTCAATAAGTGGCATTCTGTTGAAGTGACAGCTTCCCTGAATGGATTATTAAAGATCTCATGTTCTGGCCAGGAAATATTCATTAGTTTCCTTATCAGAGATGAGCCAATCATCTACAGCATGACATTTAATCAGCAAATATGAGCTGAACATTCATGAAGGTTTTCAGGTCAACACAGATAGTATTAGAGCCAAATATTTTACAGATCAATAATCAGCAGCATCTGTCAGATCTATCAGACACATTTCACTTTAAAAACACATTTAGGTTCTAATTAGCAGCTTCTCTGACCTTTGACCCGGAGCACCACTTGTTTCTTCATCAGGATGTCTCTCTCCCCTCTGTAGACGGTGCAGGTGTAGGTGTTACTGTCTCTGTATGTGGGATATTTCAGGGTCAGACTGAGGTCTCCAGCTCTCAGCAGGTTTCTCTTCATCTCTGTTCGGTCTCTGTAAAACTGGTGCTGTTCTTCAGGCTGGTCAGAGCCGTTCTGATACACGTGGACCTTCCTGTCATACCTGCCCGTCCACTTCACTGTGCCGTCTTCAGGCAGGTGAACTGTGGTTTTGCAGGGCAGCAGGACAGACTCCACCTCTGAATCCACCTCCACCTGGTAGACTGAGAGGACAACAAAGCACAACATCAGCTGTACAGACAGCAGCAGGAACTCTGAAATATGTCCCATTGTTCCATCTAACAGAGACAGTGTTGTCTTTGGTGTCTCTACAATCAACAGCACAACTGACTGTTTATTAAATCACTGAGTATTATTGTCAGATGGACTCAATCAAATCTTTATTAAAGTTAGAATCTGAAGGTTTTCATTAAATAAATGTCTGTTCAGTCACTATCTATCATACAATGAGGTAACACAGTGCTGACTGAACCTGTGGATATATCTGCAGTATTACAAGGTGAAAAACTGCAGTATTAAGTTGCTGCTAATGCGAAGTGCAAACATTTCCTGCTGCTGCAGCTTCACATTAAAAGCATTTAAGTGGGGAAACATGAGTTGACTTTTATTATAAAGTAGTCATAGGAAATGCAGTATTTGTCAGTGAGATTAGCACTGTTCATCAAAAATGAGTCAACAACAAAAGACACAACATTTTGTCATTTTTTCTCAGTTTGAAATGTTGCAGGGAATAATGGAAGAGTCAGGAGCAGCTACAGTGAGCTGTTAGACGAAGAGCTGCAGGCGACAGGCTGCACACCGAGCTAACCAGCTCCTCTCACTGGGCCCTGCTGTTCACAGACTAAAGAAATCTTCATCCCTTCAACATAACCAGAAGCTGCTGAGATTTTACTACAAACCTTTCCATATAGTTTGGTTCGAGATTTGGTATGGTGCATGAAATAAGTAGAAAAAAGGACATGTGTGCATTGTACTTACTTTGTCATGTTCCCAGTTAAAGTTAATGTCCCCAGGGACTTCTGGATCTATAGATCTATATATTGTGCATTATTTATGGATCCATCAACAGATGGTTTTCTGATCAACATCTAAGAAACTGATCAGAAGTCTGAAGAAGTCACACACTATCAATTGTTTCATCAAGATCACTGTAAATGAATGTGTTAGCTCCTTAGTTCCTTTATGTTCTAGTCCAGTGTCTAGAACTCATTATGACGAGGAGTACTTTATGATTATTCCTCCTCACTGTGACTCAAACATATGCCTTTTTCCCTCGTCAAACTACTTCCAGGTGACAGTACTGGCAGATGGAGGTTTCGACATAAAGGAGAGCATGAAGATAGCAGCCATCATAATATAAAATAAGTAAAAAAGGGATAAAATAAAGTCAAGATCGGGAAAGGCTCTCCTATAAAAGTATGTTTTAAAAAGGGACTTAAAAGAGTTCACTGACTCAGCTGACCTGATTTCCTCAGGCAGGCTGTTCCAGACAGGGTTGATGTGGTCATATTTCTTTGTTCTGGTTAAAAGCCTGGCAGCTGAGTTCTGGACAGTCTGGAGTCGATCAATAGATTTTTGGGTTAAACAGGTGAAAAGGCTGTTGCAATAATCCAGGCGTGATGAGATGAAGGCGTGTAAAATGGTCTCGGTGTCCTTAAAAGTTAACATAGATCGAATTTTTGCTATGTTTCTAAGTTGATAAAAACATGATTGAACAAGCTTTGTGGTGTTCTGTCTGTAGGTTCTTTGCAACAGGCTTAATGTGATCTACTGGGGAATCAATGGGACCAATGACCAGGATTTCTGTTTTGTCTGAGTTCAGCTGGAGGAAATTATTTGACATCCATTTTTAACTTCACAAAGGCAGTTGTTAAGTGAACTCAGAATTCCAGGGTCTGTGGATCTGATGGGCAAGTACATTTGTGTGTCATCAGCATAAATATAAAAAGACATACCATGTTTATGGATAATATGTCCAAGGGGAAGCAGATACAAGGAAAGTACCAGAGATCCTCACCCAGTGCCCAATCACCCAATCACCTGGCCTTAACCCAATAGAGCATGTATTTCACCTGTTTAACAGGAGACTGGAGGGAGAAACAACCCGAAACAAACAAGAACCGAAAGAAGCTGCGGTAAATGCCTGGAATAGCATCACAGATGAAGAAGTGATGTTGATGGGTCACAGATGAAGAAGTGATGTCGATGGGTCGCAGGCTTGAGGGAGTTATTGCAAGCAAGGGTTATACCACCAAATATTACATGTTATTTACTTTAAGATTATTTGTTCCTTTATTTTTGCTCACCTAAGAATGCTGTGGTCTAATACAAATGGTGATATATCCTGAGTTGTTTAACACATCTAGATGTGAATACCAGGAAATAAAAGCTGAAATTCTGAACTCTTGTCTCATACTCATCTTTTGATCTTGAACCCAAATGTCTTCAGTGAACAACAAAAACAAAGGAATTTGCCTTACTGTTCCAATACTTTTAGAGGGGACTGTACCTAAATATTTCAATGAACGATTATTCCAGCTTAGCTTAAATTTGTGAGTGAGACATTTTGGAGGAGGACAATTAAAAATAATTGAATCTTTTGTACATTTAGTTAATAACCACAACAAATACCATTTTTTTGTAAAAGGTTAATTAATTCAGGAAATGTATTAGAAGGGTCACTTAAATATATCAAGATATCATCTGCGTACAGAGCTACCTTATGATCCTTCACTTTTATATTAATGCCCCTGATACTTTCTGTCTGTCTCTGCCATTGTGAGAGGGGTTTGATGTAGAGAGCGAAGAGTAAAGGGGGAATGGGGCACCCTTTTTGTGAGCCGCGGTGTAATGTTATAGTCTTTGAAAGATTGCCTTCATTTTTATTTGGGCTGATGGTTTGTCATAGAGTGTCCGTATTACATTAGTAAAATTCAAATGCAAGCCAAGAACTTTGTATAAGAAAGCCCAAATGACTGAATCAAAGGCTTTTTCTGCATCAAGGCTTACCAAAAGGGCTGTTAACTTATTCTGTTCTATTTGATCCATAATATGCAATGAGCATCTAATATTATCCTGCATTTGCCTTTGTAAAATAAAACCGTCTTGATCAGTATTTATGAGTGGGGGTAGTATTTTTTCTAATCTTTTAGCAAGGATAGCCGTAAATAACTTATAATCAACGTTTAGAACTGAAATAGGTCTGTTTGATACGCAGTCTGAAAGATCCATTCCCTCTTTAGGAATAATAGAGATAACTGCTTTCCTCCCGGTGAGCAGCATCTTTGAATCTTTAAGAATTGAATCTTAAGTAACAGTATTGCAGGCCCTAAGAAGGTAGGTAGGTAACAGCTCAGTTCAAAATGCTTTATACAAAGCTGAAGTAAAGCCATCTGCCAGGTGAGCTATTTGCCTTCTAGAGATTTACCTAGAGATAGCGCCATTTTGTTTTATTTCAGTTATTGCAGCAGTCAAAATTGTATTGTGTTCATCAGAAACAGTTGGTAAATTAACGGCTTAAATCCACTGACTCTGGCGCCACGGTTGCCAGAGCGAATTGGGGCTATTCTAGTCAATGCTTGTGAGTCCACCAATTATGGCCGCAGCGTGTCCCAGAAGTGTCCCAGAGGTGTCCCAGAAGTGTCCCAGAGGTGTCCCAGAAGTGGCTCTCTGCTCTGCTCTGCAGAGGATAGGTAGTAGGTCTATTTTTGCCACTAGCCGCGTCATGCACCACAGAGCAGACTGAACCAGGCAGGACGTCAGACACAGAACGGCAGAGAGAATCCGGTAAAGTTTCAAAATAAAACACCCCGTGGAGACTATCTTTACAGTTTTACAATTGCTCAAAAATGAGGCTTTACCTGCAGAGACCACTGCAGTGGCAAAAAGAAGGCGAAAGAAGCTACAATGTAACATTAATAGGCCCACTGCACAACTGATAATTATTCTTAGTGTCTGACAGCATTATGGAAAGGATCCCTGCTGAGGTCGACCTTTTGTTTCAACATGAAACATCCCTGAAATCACCAAACCCACCAGACTCTATTCAAATTAACTGTAATTTTATCATCATAAAACACACTTCATTAAAAGTTGACGGAAACAAGATAAAACCTTCACAAACCATCTTGGTTGTCTTTCCATTGTTCCAACAACCACAACTCTGGTTTGGTTGAAATAACCCTAAATTCACCTATTTACATGTAACAAGTATGCTGGCTCTATACATGCTAAAAGTATTGATTATTAAATAGAGTCTGGTTTGTTTGGTGATGGCGATTTTGGAGTTGTTTCTGGTTAAACGAAAATAATGTCAATCTTTAACAAAAATGTTTCTCTCAGTTAGGACCCTTATTATGATGTTGCCAGACACTTATAATAACGATCTGAACCTGTCATTGGCAAAAACAGCACTTTTAGTGGATGGTAAATAATACATATACAGTGTATACACACATATCTATTAAAAACTAACTAACTACTGTATGAAAATAAATAAAATAAGAAATGTACAGAAGTATATAGGGTAGCTGTATTAGGAATGCAAATTACAATGTGATACAATGGGCAATGTGATTACAATGTGCAATCTGTGCATGTTGAGTGTGTGAATGTACAATTTACAGTTATATTAACTAGCTCATGGGCCAGGCAAAATGTTTTCATTTCAGATGGCAGAGTTCTACATGTCCTTCTTTCTAGCATTATCCAACGAAGGTTAAAGTCAAGGGCAACTGGACTTGGTTGAAGATACTGGAAGACGTTTCGTCCCTCATTCAAAGGACTTCTTCAGTTCTGACTGACTGGCAGGGAAACTCA